TTGCTTTTGAGGGTGTCATAATAAGCGAAGGTGAAAACTTTAGCGGAAAGTATTTTTTGGTTTGATTGCCTAACGCTTTGAGGTTGATGTGCTACAAGTGCACACACCCACGTGCCCGTCTGAATTACTAAACAAAGTAAAGGACGACGAGCCAACACATACTAACAATTATATCTCAAAAGTAAATATTCGTGGACAGGTATTTTTAAGTCTAACCGGACCGAAAGTGAGAATGTAGTATAGTATTACTATTAGTACAAGGTGAATAGATTTCGAAGGTCACAGCGCTAAGTGTTGCCTTGCCTGTTTATTAATATGTTTGTTCACGGTTACCAACAAACGTGGTTTGTTACAGATATCAGATGGTGATTTGCCAACCCCTTTCTGAAAAAAACTATTTATATATACGGATGAAAAAACAAAAAAGCTAAAACATTGTAGTATTATTTAGTACCCGCTGTGATATTAGTAGTGTTCACGCTACACGAATTACGGGCTACGTTTTTTGCTAAAGTTTGCATATCGGATAGATTAGAAGATAGAAGTAACACAGTCTCGTCGTTACTTTTTATTATTTCTCAAAAAGTGTGATGTTTGTGACATCACAAGAACAATGACCGTAGATGTACTTGCGTAGATTGTCATGCCTAAATGAACAGTTATGAATATTATAGTAAATCTTCCAAATGCACATTGAATACAATGACGTTATTGAGGCTTAGTCCGAGCAAAGCGTTCACGCACACTTCGTTAACCCGTGCTAAGGGTTAACTGTCACGTAGGCGTGTATGTAACCTAACTTTATTGCGTCACAACGGTCGTCGGAGTGTCTAGGAAAGTGTCTGGGAATATTGCAAAGTCCCTCGGTGATTATCTGCCGGGTGCGGGAGTTAGGTGTATGTAAATATCTTGCGCTCGATGTAAAAACAGGCCAGATTTAATCCGTACTTATTTGACCCCTTAGCCCGTGCTAAGTACCTGTATATGAACGCTTCTACTGCAAACAACATTATACGTGTATTTATAATAATAATAATAATTTTATTCAACACGAAAATCTACTACAGAGAGTAATTTTATGGTTGTAAAACAAAAACAGAAATAATTCTAAGATCACAAATAGCACATTAAATATAAGTAATTATAGAATGGGAGAAAAAAAACAAGATAAGCTAATGTTATTGTTTAAGACAAGGCAAAACTGAAATACAGTTCACTCCACCAAAATCACGAATAAAACATTGAATAAATGTCGCTAAGAATAAAAACATACATGAAAATTAGTATAATAGAACTACTTAGCTACTAAACATGCCATTGCGTTAAAACCACCTGCAGACTTATTTGATGGAGTTGCTATGTTCCATCTCTTAAGTTCATACTTGTATGTGCAGTTTCTATTTTTCTGCAAAGCTCGTCATAGTTAATCG